TGGGTGTGTGTGGGGGGGGGGGTTCTCTTTGTGTGTGTGCTGTGGGTTCTCGTCAACAGCAGGTGAGGAATGGTGTTGGTCGTGGGATGCAGGCAAGGGCGAGTCAGATGTTTTCTATGACCTATCCAAGGCAATGGTTGAAGCGAACCCTCGAGTTATTTTATGGGGTGACTGTAATGCCGAGTGGGTCATTACGCAGGCACCTGCACGGGACTGATTGGAGGTGATGGGTCAGGTCAGCTCAATAACGATACTAGACTTCCGTGCCACCCATGGGCTTGTAATCAACGCAATGTTAAATTCATTGGTGTATCCACACTGCATCAAGCGTGCATGCCGGGTTCAAGCAAAAACATCCGCTGGACTACATAGAGACGTATTCATATGCTTAGGTTTTCGGTAAAGTCACGTAGGTAAAAAATTCAAATTAACAAAAGTAAAATAAAAATAAAATAAAAATCACGACGTTTCGGAGGCAACACAAGCTTCCGTCTTCAGGTGGAACCGTCACAGCCACGACAGTTGTATCAAGTAAGACGGTTCCACCTGAAGACGGAAGCTTGTGTTGCCTCCGAAACGTCGTGATTTTATTTTATTTTACTTTTATTAATTTTTATTTTTTACCTACGTGACTTTACCGAAAACCTAAGAATATGAATACTTGCAGTCACGAAGGCTTCAAATCTAGAATATATAGAGACGGACCAGCGAATACACGCCCAAGACCTTGACACCTGGACCGACCGTGGAGCTGACCTGCCCGCTGACCATCGGCTAGTCATCTTGCAAAGATGCGCCTGCCATCCTTCCATTATGCAACGGTCGTGAAGGGCGTCTACCGAGGAGCCCAATCAAACCGACGGTCGCCTCGTTCCAGCTGTTGAAAGTCGCAAGAGGGAATTTTATTTAACACGTAGTAGCAGCAGGCTTTCGCGACCAATATTATCCATCATCTTGGTTCTTTCGGTAAAGTCACGTAGAAGAGACAGCATCTTCAGACGCTGTCTCCCCGACAGACCTGGTCTTCACCTGAGGACGGCTGCTTGCTTTGTGGCCGAAACGTCGTGAGAATTATTTTATTATGTTTTATTTTTATTATTTTATTACCTCCCTTCTACGTGACTTTACCGAAAGAACCAAGACGATGAATCCCTGCAGTCACGAAAGCTTTAAATCGAAATGTTATCCATGATAGAGGTTTTTGGGTTAGATCGCGTAAATGTGAATGCGTCGTTAACCCCGCCACCACTCGACACGGCCAATTCGTAAGGTTTGTCACGTGAACAAAACGTGCAAATTCGTTACTTGTGTAGTGACATAGCGCTGATTGTTAGACAGCAGCAGCAACTGCAGATGGGCACTTGGCGCACACGCCGCTGAGCATATACGCGGGTGTGTGTGCCGGCAGGGCGGAGGAACTGGGGCAAGGGTCACGGTAGACCTCGTGTGGAAGCCCCTGAAACTCTCTAGAGCAACGGTCCCTAACCTTTTGATTTAAAGCTTTCGTGACTGCAGGGATTCATCTTCTTGGTTCTTTCGGTAAAGTCACGTAGAAGGGCGCCCCCTCCAACCCAGCTTAAATATACGCTGCCAAGCCTGGTGGTGTTCATTCAGACGCTGTCTTTCCGACAGACCTGTTCTTCACCTGAGGACGGCTGCTTGCGTTGTGGCCGAAAGTCGTGAGAATTATTTTATTATGTTTTATTTTTATTGTTTTATTATTTCCCTTCTACGTGACTTTACCGAAAGAACCAAGAAGATGAATCCCTGCAGTCACGAAAGCTTTAAATCGAAGTCGTGAGAATTATTTTATTATGTTTTATTTTTATTGTTTTATTACTTCCCTTCTACGTGACTTTACCGAAAGAACCAAAGAGTAATTCCTGCAGTCACGAAAGCTCCAAATTAAGTTTTCAGCTAAACATTGCACAAGTACATACATTCCTGCAGAAAAACAACAACAGTCCTAGACCACACCAAGACAACACACAGTCCCTCGATTACTTTGTAATTAATAAATTGATCGATCATTGGGCGTGGAAAACTTGGGACCCTGTGCCTCCCCCCGCCCTCCCCCATGGTGCTACCCTACCCCGGGCCCCCTCACGGGGAGCTAATCCAGGATGCGGGGTCTCCGATGAGAATCCCAGATCCGTTGGCAAACATCGCTCCATCCCGCTGTTGACTCGCGGGCTTAGACTCATGGCAGCGTCTCACAACAAGCGCCCCGGGCTGGGGGCCCACAGGGGCTCTGGGTGGCCCTTTCGCCAGGGGGCCCGAGAGGGCCTCGGGGTTCCAGCGGCCCTGGGTTAGGTGGCGCACGCACGTGGGGACCACGTGGTGACCTCGTGGTGAGATGTGTAACCACATTCTCCACATTTGTAACCACATTCTCCACATTTGTAACCACATTCTCCACATTTATAACCACATTTGTAACCACATTCTCCAGATTTGTAACCACATTCTCCACATTTATAACCACATTTGTAACCACATTCTCCACATTTGTAACCACATTCTCCACATTTATAACCACATTTGTAACCACATTCTCCAGATTTGTAACCACATTCTCCACATTTTCACCACATTTGTAACCACATTCTCCACATTTGTAACCACATTCTCCAGATTTGTAACCACATTTGTAACCACATTCTACACATTTGTAACCACATTTGTAACCACATTCTCCAGATTTTTCACCACATTTGTAACCACATACTCCACATTTTTCACCACATTTGTAACCACATTCTCCACATTTGTAACCACATTTGTAACCACATTCTCCAGATTTATAACTGCATTTGTAACCACATTTTTCCACATTTGTAACCACATTTGTAACCACATTCTCCAGATTTTTCACCACATTTGTAACCACATTCTCCACATTTGTAACCACATTTGTAACCACATTCTCCACATTTGTAACCACATTTTCCACATTTATAACCACATTTGTAACCACATTCTGCACATTTGTAACCACATTTGTAACCACATTCTCCACATTTGTAACCACATTTGTAACCACATTCTCCAGATTTATAACTGCATTTGTAACCACATTTATCCACATTTTTAACCACATTTGTAACCACATTCTCCACATTTGTAACCACATTCTCCACATTTGTAACCACATTTGTAACCACATTCTCCACATTTGTAACCACATTCTCCACATTTGTAACCACATTTGTAACCACATTCTCCACATTTGTAACCACATTCTCCAGATTTATAACTGCATTTGTAACCACATTTTTCCACATTTTTAACCACATTTGTAACCACATTCTCCACATTTGTAACCACATTCTCCACATTTGTAACCACATTTGTAACCACATTCTCCACATTTGTAACCACATTCTCCACATTTGTAACCACATTTGTAACCACATTCTCCACATTTGTAACCACATTTTCCACATTTATAACTGCATTTGTAACCACATTTTTCCACATTTGTAACCACATTTGTAACCACATTCTCCACATTTGTAACCACATTTGTAACCACATTTCCACATTTATAACCACATTTGTAACCACATTCTGCACATTTATAACCACATTTGTAACCACATTTTCCACATTTATAACCACATTTGTAACCACATTCTCCACATTTGTAACCACATTCTCCACATTTGTAACCACATTTGTAACCACATTCTCCACATTTGTAACCACATTTTCCACATTTATAACTGCATTTGTAACCACATTTTTCCACATTTGTAACCACATTTGTAACCACATTCTCCAGATTTTTCACCACATTTGTAACCACATTTGTAACCACATTTGTAACCACATTTGTAACCACATTCTCCACATTTTTCACCACATTTGTAACCACATTTGTAACCACATTCTCCACATTTTTCACCACATTTGTAACCACATTTGTAACCACATTCTCCACATTTATAACCACATTTGTAACCACATTTGTAACCACATTCTCCATATTTGCAACAACATTCCCCGGATCGTAGGGACTGTAATTTAAAGCCCAAAGGGTTTGGATGTATTTTTTATATGGAAAAGACATTGTCTTCCAATAATTACAGCAATCAGCAATGTCAACTTGGAACACTGCGCCAGACGAGCAGTGGAATGAAGCAGCAGCATCAGCCACCGGTAAACCGAATGAAAAAAACCGGTTTGCCGCACACATAGAAACTGTCTCAAGCAGTAAGAAGGACACGTTTAGATGATAAAAAAAACAGTCGCCTTTACCCTTTCTGAACCGTTAACCGGTTCTCAAAATGGTTACCGGTTACCGTTAAAACCCCCTCGTTGAGACTGGTGACGGAATGGCAGCCAGACGAGCTGATATGAGCTGAGACACGAGCTCTCGTGTGCAAGGGCGATAGGGGGGACGGTAACCAAGAGGCGTTGGCAGGCCTTGGTCCAGCAGTGGATAGAGCATGGCTTTTGATGATGGGAGGGGCAGGGTCATGTGAGGGGAGGGGTCTAGTGTAGAGGGGGCGGGGTTTGGTGCGGAGGGGCGTGGTCTAACAGAGAGGGGCGTGGTCTAATCCCGAGAGGCGTGGTCTAATGTAGAGGGGAGGGGTCTAGTGTCGAGGGGCGTGGTTTAGTGCCGAGGGGCGTGGTCTAATGTAGAGGGGCGTGGTCTAGTGTCAAGGGGCGTGGTCTAGTGTCAAGGGGCGTGGTCTAACAGAGAGGGGCGTGGTCTAATGGCAAGGGGCGTGGTCTAGTGTAGAGGGGCGTGGTCTAATGGCGAGGGGCGTGGTCTAATGTAGAGGGGCGTGGTCTAGTGTCAAGGGGCGTGGTCTGGTGTCGAGGGGCGTGGTCTAGTGTAGAGGGGCGTGGTCTAGTGTAGAGGGGCGTGGTCTAGTGTCAAGGGGCGTGGTCTGGTGTCGAGGGGCGTGGTCTGGTGTCGAGGGGGCGTGGTCTAGTGTCGAGGGGCGTGGTCTAGTGTCGAGGGGCGGGGCTGTTGCTGTGGGCGCGAGGAGGAGGAGGTAGTGAGGAGGGAGGCCTCGCCGGGCCATGGCGACCTGAGCCGGGAGACGCGTCCCCTGCCGGCGGGGATTGGGCGACTAGGAGGAGAACGAGGAGGAGGAGGACGAAGAGGGAGAAGAGGTGGAGGAGGAGGTGGAAGAGGAGGAGGAGGAGGAAGGATGTGGCGGACCGCGCTGCTCGTCGCCTGCGGCGCGTCCGCGGCGCCGCTGTCTGCCCCGGGTAAGAGACGCGGGGGCCGCGGCCTGGGGGGGTGTGAGGGGGGGTGAGGGGGGGTGAGGGGTGGTGAGGTGAGGGGGGTGGTGAGGGGGGGCGAGGTGAGGGGGGCGAGGTGAGGGGGGGCGAGGTGAGGGGGGGCGAGGTGAGGGGGGGCGAGGTGAGGGGGGGTGGTGAGGTGAGGTGAGGGGGGCGAGGTGAGGGGGGCGAGGTGAGGGGGGGGGGCGAGGTGAGGGGGGGCGAGGTGAGGGGGGGCGAGGTGAGGGGGGCGAGGTGAGGGGGGGCGAGGTGAGGGGGGGTGGTGAGGTGAGGTGAGGGGGGCGAGGTGAGGGGGGCGAGGTGAGGGGGGGCGAGGTGAGGGGGGGCGAGGTGAGGGGGGGCGAGGTGAGGGGGGGTGGTGAGGTGAGGTGAGGGGGGCGAGGTGAGGGGGGCGAGGTGAGGGGGGCGAGGTGAGGGGGGGCGAGGTGAGGGGGGGCGAGGTGAGGGGGGGGTGGTGAGACGAGGTGAGGGGGGCGAGGTGAGGGGGGGGCGAGGTGAGGGGGGGCGAGGTGAGGGGGGGCGAGTGTGAGGGGGGGTGGTGAGGTGAGGTGAGGGGGGCGAGGTGAGGGGGGGCGAGGTGAGGGGGGGCGAGGTGAGGGGGGGTGGTGAGGTGAGGTGAGGGGGGCGAGGTGAGGGGGGCGAGGTGAGGGGGGGCGAGGTGAGGGGGGGGTGGTGAGGTGAGGTGAGGGGGGGCGAGGTGAGGGGGGGTGGTGAGGTGAGGTGAGGGGGGGGTGACGAGACGAGGTGAGGGGGGGGCGAGGTGAGGGGGGGTGGTGAGGGGGGGTGAGGGGTGGTGAGGTGAGGGGGGGTGACGAGACGAGGTGAGGGGGGGCGAGGTGAGGGGGGGTGGTGAGGTGAGGGGGGGTGGTGAGGTGAGGGGGGGTGACGAGACGAGGTGAGGGGGGGCGAGGTGAGGGGGGGTGGTGAGGTGAGGGGGGGTGGTGAGGTGAGGGGGGGTGACGAGACGAGGTGAGGGGGGCGAGGTGAGGGGGCGAGGTGAGGGGGGGGGGTGGTGAGGTGAGGGGGGGGGTGGTGAGGTGAGGTGAGGGGTGGTGAGGTGAGGGGGGGTGGTGAGGGTGAAGGGAGGAGACGAGGTGAGGGGGGGTGGTGAGGTGAGGGGGGGGGGAGGTGATGGTGACGAGACGAGGTGAGGGGGGGTGGTGAGGTGAGGGGGGGGTGGTGAGGTGAGGGGGGTGGTGAGGTGAGGGGGGGGGTGGTGAGGTGAGGGGGGTGGTGAGGTGAGGGGGGGTGGTGAGGTGAGGGGGGGTGGTGAGGTGAGGGGGGGTGGTGAGGTGAGGGGGGTGGTGAGGTGAGGGGGGGTGGTGAGGTGAGGGGGGGTGGTGAGGTGAGGGGGGGTGGTGAGGTGAGGGGGGTGGTGAGGTGAGGGGGGTGGTGAGGTGATGGTGACGAGACGAGGTGAGGGGGGGAGACGAGGTGAGGGGGGTGGTGAGGTGAGGGGGGGTGGTGAGGTGAGGGGGGGTGGTGAGGTGAGGGGGGGGGACGAGGTGAGGAGTAAATGAGAAAGTGGTCGTGAGTGACAGGACAGAGTAGAAGAGGGGGGTGGGTGAGGAGGTGAGAGGGTGAGGGGGTGAGGAGATGAGGGGTGAGGGGTGAGGAGGTGAGAGGGTGAGGAGGTGAGGGGGTGAGGAGGAGAGAGGAGGGGGTGAAAGGGTGAGGAGGTGAGGGGTGAGTGGGTGAAGAGTGAGCAGAATGTAATTGAGGCGAGGTGACAGGAAGGGCGGAAGAGGTGAGGTGATCCAGGGTGCATTGGTGAGGGTGGAGATGTCACTAAAGAGGTGAGGTCATCCAGGGTGCATTGGTGAGGGTGGAGATGTCACTAAAGAGGTGAGGTGATCCAGGGTGCATTGGTGAGGGTGGAGATGTCACTAAAGAGGTGAGGTGACCCAGGGTGCATTGGTGAGGGTGGAGATGTCACTAAAGAGGTGAGGTGATCCAGGGTGCATTGGTGAGGGTGGAGATGTCACTAAAGAGGTGAGGTGATCCAGGGTGCATTGGTGAGGGTGGAGATGTCACCGTGAAGAGGTGAGGTGATCCAGGGTGCATTGGTGAGGGTGGAGATGTCACTAAAGAGGTGAGGTGACCCAGGGTGCATTGGTGAGGGTGGAGATGTCACCGTGAAGAGGTGAGGTGATCCAGGGTGCATTGGTGAGGGTGGAGATGTCACTAAAGAGGTGAGGTGATCCAGGGTGCATTGGTGAGGGTGGAGATGTCACTAAAGAGGTGAGGTGATCCAGGGTGCATTGGTGAGGGTGGAGATGTCACTAAAGAGATGAGGTGGTCCAGGGTGCATTGGTGAGGGTGGAGATGTCACTGTGAAGAGGTGAGGTGATCCAGGGTGCATTGGTGAGGGTGGAGATGTCACTAAAGAGGTGAGTTGATCCAGGGTGCATTGGTGAGGGTGGAGATGTCACTAAAGAGGTGAGTTGATCCAGGGTGCATTGGTGAGGGTGGAGATGTCACGGAAGAGGTGAGGTGGTCCAGGGTGCATTGGTGAGGGTGGAGATGTCACTAAAGAGGTGAGGTGGTCCAGGGTGCATTGGTGAGGGTGGAGATGTCACTAAAGAGGTGAGGTGATCCAGGGTGCATTGGTGAGGGTGGAGATGTCACTAAAGAGGTGAGGTGATCCAGGGTGCATTGGTGAGGGTGGAGATGTCACTAAAGAGGTGAGGTGATCCAGGGTGCATTGGTGAGGGTGGAGATGTCACTAAAGAGGTGAGGTGATCCAGGGTGCATTGGTGAGGGTGGAGATGTCACTAAAGAGGTGAGGTGATCCAGGGTGCATTGGTGAGGGTGGAGATGTCACTAAAGAGGTGAGGTGATCCAGGGTGCATTGGTGAGGGTGGAGATGTCACTAAAGAGGTGAGGTGATCCAGGGTGCATTGGTGAGGGTGGAGATGTCACTAAAGAGGTGAGGTGATCCAGGGTGCATTGGTGAGGGTGGAGATGTCACTGTGAAGAGGTGAGGTGATCCAGGGTGCATTGGTGAGGGTGGAGATGTCACGGAAGAGGTGAGGTGGTCCAGGGTGCATTGGTGAGGGTGGAGGTGTCACTGTGAAGAGGTGAGGTGATCCAGGGTGCATTGGTCAGCGTGGAGATGTCACTGTGAAGAGGTGAGGTGACCCAGGGTCCATTGGTGAGGGTGGAGGTTTGTCACTGTGAAGAGGTGAGGTGACCTAGGGTGCATTGGTGAGGGTGGAGATCTCACGAGGAGGAAGCGTGGTTCTCCGTGAGGATCGAATTGAGATGAATGAGGTGGCGGTGAGGTAGGTTTTGAGTGAGAACGTCGTTCAGCGGCTATGAAGGTGAAGAAGTTGACAGGGAAATGTTGGTGAAGTTCTAAGCGGGCTGTGATGAAGAGGGAGTATTGGTGGTGTGGGGGAGACGAGGTGTGAGTTGGGTTGAGAAGGCGACGTGGGGGATGGTGGAGTGAGGGTTGAGGTGAAGGGTGTGAGGGGTGATGGGGTCGGGGGTTAGGAGGTCATGGGCGAGACGACACGGGTTGATTGACACGTGAGTAGGTTGTGAAGTTGGCAAAGCTGTCAACCCCTTATCAGTTCCCTTACCTTATTCCATGCCAATTCAGAACTTAGTGGTCACCCCGTGCCCCTCATAAATCTCAACGTTCATCTTACAAAGGCGAAACACAAATAATTTGACAATTATTATTTTTGGCCAGTATTGAAACGGCTGTACGCCGACATATGGACCTGAAAACTCAACTTCCCGTACAAGAATACGGGGTAAACCGTGTGGCTTGACAGGATTGACGGGTATGGTATATTCGTGTAGGTGTATAGTAGTTTAGTAGTGAAGTGTTTAGTAGTTTAGTGTATAGCAAACCTGTCAACACTTTTATCCAGTGCCCTACCTTAGTACAGACCAATTCAGACTTTAGTGGTCACCCTGTGTCCTTAAAAATCTCAACAGTTCATCCAACACAGTCCCATCACAAGGGCGAAACACAAACAAATAGACACAATTCGTTGTGTTGCCCGTATTAAAACGGCTTTACGCCGACGTATGGACTTGAAAACTCAACTTCCCCGTGCAAGAATAAGGGGTAAACCGTGCGGCTTGACACGGTGTGAGATCCTGATTTGCAGCTTTCGTGCCCGCAGGAATCCATACTCTTTGGTTCTTTCGGTAAAGTCACGTGGGGTATAAAATAAAATAAATCAGGACGTTTCGGGCTCATGGTCTGCCTCGGCAGCAGACCACGCTTTTCCCACCTGATGATGGACGCTTGTGTTGCGCCCGAAACGTCGTGATTGATTTATTTTATACCTACGTGACTTTACTGAAAGAACCAAGAGTATGGTGTGAGATGGTTGTGGTCAGGCTGCATGGAGGAGGTGGTTACTGTCACGGCAGTGTGGATTATGTCATCGAATTCCGGGTCAGATCGCCAAAGTAACATGTGTGTCGTACAGCCACCTCCACCCAACACAGCCCAGTTAATAAAGTTGTCACGTGACAAACGTGTCAATTTGTTACTGCTCCAAGCACAACCTTGTTGTTGTTGTTCTAGAGCGATTCACGCACACACACACAGGCGTTTAAACAATTGTGTACGGACGTGTCGCTGGTAAGTTACGTGACAACTTCATGATATTCATTGGCCGTGCCGGGCGGAGGAAAGGCGTGCGACAACAACGCATGTTGGGACCATCCGAGCCGAAAAAAAATCAATAAGTTTGATTCGCTACAAGCGATGACTCGTGAAAGTTCTAGCGATGAAAGCACAATGTTTGTGTTGGTGCGGTTTTATGCGCGGAGCTGTCATGAGGATGTCATGTGCTGCTCGGCAAACTCACGCGCACACACACAAAGACAAAGACACCCCGTATAGCCTCAACAGAATGTTGGGGCAAGTTGTTGTCAGCGAATAGCGAGCAACTCTGAAAGCCGGAACGGCACGCGAGGGGGTGGGTGGCCAGCTCCACGCC